AGTGGGCTTTGGATTAGGATGTTAATAAGAGAATGACTTATGCAGAAACTGGCTTTCTATCAAGATAAAAAGTAACAAGCAAATAAAAAATATTTTAGAAAGGAACACTAGAAACTTTAACAGAAAAGGAAATAGTCTGCAAGTAGGATTACTATATATTGCTCTGTGGGATGTTGAAGTAAAGCTGATCAAAAAGTAAAATGAAATACAATATTTTAAGCTACACGTACTTGTTTCTCATAAAGTATCTCATTGGTACAGATGGAATCACAGAATAGTGCTCCTTCCATAATATTTATGTCACTAATAGCAAATATATTCCTCAGAAAGAGTTGCAAGGCAATAGGAGAAGTTTGAGATAAAGCCTCAAAACATAATCTACAAAACAGAAAGTAAAAGAATGGTAAAAATATATTAGTGATCACAGACCTCTTATTCCTGACATGAAAAAGACAATCTTTAATTGTAAAATGTTAGACACTAAGGAAATACAACTAGGAAATGAGATTTATACATAAAATGGAACAAACTGGCTATGTATTCTAATTTAAAAACTGTAAATAAATGAGGTAAGACTCCATTTCAGGTTGCTGTCCACCTTCTACTAAACCTAACATACATTTCCTTTAGCTGTTTCACTTAACGTAGTAACACTGGGTTTTGAATCCTCTGTTAAAACTTGGGATGCTACAGGGTATTTATTTTACATTTATCTTCTTTTAAAACATGCTCTTCACAAGTCTAAATGGAATTTTTCTCAGCTGCCTGCTTTATTTATTTATTTATTTATTTATTTATTTATTTATTTGCATTCCTGGAGGAAGGAGGCATTTGTCCTTTTTTCATATTTATTATATCAAGAACCTTGTAATTTGGACATATAAGAAGCAAATATCTAGCTTCTCCTCAGTTATGATTCCTAATAGAGAATGAAACTCAAGACGAAAAATCAATAGATACATGCACATAGCTCACATTACCAAGGTACCAAGAGACCTTCCTGTTGGAAAAAGACCTTTCCTTTCCCGGTGGCTCCCTCTACTGTCTCTTAGGAGTCCTATGTGCTTTCTAGATAGTCCAAATAGCTTCTCAGCTACCAGTCAGCAAAAATGAAACTGGCTGTTTTTCTGATACTGCAGCATTGAGAATCTCCCATATGAATTGTAACAAAAGTAAGGCTTGGATGTAAGTGTTGGAAAAACAAAATTCCCAGAACCCTTTGCACATCTATTCACAACCTCTTATCTTGTTTTCATTCTTTTGAAAGTAGCTTCATTTCAATATTATTTACAGAGTTTTGTGCATTTAAAAATAAGACCTGGTTAGAAACAAGATTAATGAAAAGCAAGTGCAAAAAGAGAGTCACAGTCACCACACTTGCATTCTTATTTTGTTGCTCAGACCAAAGACAAAATTAAAACACCCACATCACCACGAAACAGGGCAACTAGAGATGCTCTGCCTGAACGATGGCAGTCCATATGTTGCCTGTAAACACCAACAGGTCTTAAGAGTATGTACCATCAAGACCCTCGACCAACTTTTATACGTTACATATTTTGCAAATGAAAATGCATTCATACAGGATTAATGACCCCTTTATAAATCACCATAAAGAATTAGGTGTGTAAATGCTAGCAGTTACATAAATAACAAAAATTCCTTTGCTATTTTTACAACACTGTATTTTTGAGACAAATATGACACTTTTTTTACAACTTCTTTGGCATCACAAGTCTGAACAACATTTGACAATGTGGTACTCCTTAAAATAAAATGCACACCTCTTTAGTTAATTATTATTTTAATTTTACTTTTGCCAGTTACCTGTTTTCAGATATAGTCAAATTACTGCTTGCAGAAATAACAGCTGTGTTGGCAGGCAGTGGAGAAGAATTTGAAACAAAATAATCCCACATTGGTGTAAATGCTTCTCTAGCTAATGTATAATTGCCGGTCTGGTAGGCTACCTACAAAAAATAAAAAAAATAATTATGCAATTTTAAAAAAGAAAAATTATTACATTTCATTTTATAACATTTATTAATTGCTAATTAAAATAAATGTAACAAATTTCCATGTTCTTCAAATAACAAAGGCAAATCTGATTACAGAAAGATGGATTTAAAAATCCTCTCCCACAAGGCGGAAGTTTCCAATTTCTGTAAAAATATTCTGAGACATATTTGAATAAAATATACATAGTGGTAGTTTGATTCTACTAATTAGCATCTGAGAATGCAAAACAGATTCTTGACTATTAACCAGGGATCTACCAGTCCTTTATGGAATTCTTAGAAAGTATGATGTTGGAGCTTGCAAAGATGCATTATTTCATCTAGATCTATTTGCTAATACCTTTGTTAATACTGCAGAATGCCAACTGCTCTGGATCATGGAATGCAAATGGTGCCACACAAGTAGCATGCTCATGAGAATGATTCTTACCCTGACAGATTTATGAAATCTTCTAACACTTTCCCATGATCTGTGGGGCTAAAAGATTTCACTTTTTCTCCATGTCATAATTTAATGGGGTTTTTTTGGTGAGAAATATAGAAAATTACTGTAAGCCATTGTGGCCTTCTCCAACTCACTACAGAAAGAATTTCAATAGAAAATGATTGGATTTGGCACCTGGAAAACTCAGTCACATTTTCCATTCCATACTCTCATAACTAGTAAGATGATTTCCAGCTCTTGACCTCCATTACAAAAAATGAAAAAATAAGTGACAAAAAGGAAGAAATTAAAAGAAGTTAAATGTAAACTGTCAAACACGACAATCAAAACGGAGATAAGAAAACTAGATAAGAGACATTTTTCCTCCTGCTTGGAATTTCCAATCGTTTTGAACTTAAAATTATTTGAGCTACTCATGTATGTCATTTGTGATTATTAAATTTTGATCTCTGCTTATCAAGCTTCCTGGCAACAAAGTCTTGAGCTCTGACCGAAAAAGGTTTTTGAACTACCAGTGAGAACACAAGCAAATCAAAGTGTGTATATATATACTACCTAGACTCTTAGATTACCTGAGTTAGATAGGCTCGAACAGTAGCAGCAGAAAGAGGTGGATAAGCAAGGATTGGTTTAGTCGTTTCCCCAATAGCATCACCAATAAGTTTTCCATCAGAAGAATATGCTGCAACTGCAAATATGTACTTTTCATTAGGATCTAGGCCTTGTATTTCCAAGAGGCTTTTCCCATCAGCTGGTATCTATCAACAAAAATATTTTCTAGTTATATGCATGTTATACATCTAAAAGAATAAAAATTTTGTTGTTAAATTATTTAAAGGTCTTTGATCGAAGTACAATCTAGATTAATAGATATGTCATGTAATATTACGCTGCTCAGAGTGCTGAAGAGACTCAGAAAACAACAAAATGACAGAAAAAACATACAATTTTTTGAAAAGCAGTGAATATACAGATAGCCTAAGAGAAAACCTAACCCTATGTTTCTCATAAGAAAGCTAAATACCAGTATCAGACATTTCTCCAAGACATTTTTTTCTGTAAGCACCTGTACACTATGGATGTGTACGCTTGAGCTGGAGATATTCTAGCCTTGAACTGTGCTTTCAGAAAAACTCTGTATAAGCCACCTGGACGTATTAGATATGGATACAGGATGTTTCAAGTTCTCTCAAAATGGGACTTTGGAAAGGGAAATGAGCAGTTTGTCGATATTTATATAGACAATACATTGTGAAGATTCTCCTTCCACTTCTTCTTCAAGAACTTGTCCACCTACACTTCAACATCATGGCTCACTTCTAACGGACTTTTCTGTCTTCCTTTCAATAACTAGGACAACTTAACACAATGGACAATTGACACAACATAGAATTGACACAATGCTGAGGCACAACATCACAAGTGAGACTATCTTACCATAGTGTCAACGCAGGTCGGGTGAACAGCATCCAGAGGCCTTACACAAACATTGTCTGCCTGGCCCTCCTAAGGAGCCATCTAATCAAAAGAAATCCCTTCAAATGCTGGGGCTGAAGCCTGAATCATACCAGAAACTAGCATCACACAGTCCATAGCATCTCTTTAGAGCAAGCTTTTGCATACTGATACTTTTGATAGATTGCTCCATCATCAAGAATTCCAAGTCTTTTCCATGGAGCAGACAGATGGTGGTTTACTTTGCAGACCAGTGTCTTCAAAAGCATATCCTAAAGCAATCAGAAGCTGCCTTGCTGAGGCATATGGTTAACCTGAGGTCTGTATCTCTGTAGTGTCTGCCAGAATTAAGACAGTCTGTGACTTGGATGAACTGCAGCAAGTTCACAAGCACAACAGCTAGTAGGGGTGAAAGTCTCCAGCAAACACAGTACATATGGAGCAGGATTAGAAATTAGCTCACTGTACATCACAGGAAGCTTGATTTTCTGAATTTGATAATGAGAATACTAAGGAAAACATCAAAGTCCTTACTGCTAGTAGCTACACATATCTTTTCATACATCTTCCTTTTTGGAGGGAAGGTGGAAGGAAGAGGTATGAAAGAGAAGATTTCCTATTGATCACCAAAGATGGGAATATCAGCATTAGAACATGGTTAGCTCAATGAGCCAGGAAAGCTTGAAACATGAAGAAAAGGAGGCTGAGATCATTCGTCTGTGACAATGCAAACCAGGCAACTTCCGTGCAATGAGCTCTCTTACCCCCACCAGAGAAAGAAGCATTCAAAATAGAAAACTGACCACTCAGGTCTCAGATTGAAGAAACAAATTTGCTCAGAAGGAAGTGTTGAAGCCTTTTTTTTTTTTTTTCCTAAAAGCCAACATACAGAGCATTTGGAAGCATACTCTTCTTGATAATGCTATGGCAACACTTAGGTGACCTAAGTGATAAAGCCTAAGTGATAAAGAAGCAGAACTTAAACTCTGTTTGTGTAGGCCTTTGTCAGGAATGCTGGGAACATCAAAGGGTAAGCCAAAAGAAAAAAGCAAAAAGAACAAAGCAAGCTTAACAAAAAAGCGAAGATCAAACTGTAATGATAAAATAGAAGAGGTCAGGGTTTCTATAAAGAGCACCAATGTTGCTACATGATCAGGTATGAAAAATCAAAGATGTGTGGCATGATGCTTTGCCCATTCTGTCACATGAAAGTGGAGTAGAATGACTAGACACTCAGGTGTGACTGAAGACAGGAAGATTCTTGAAGTGATATTAT